CGTGAATAATTTTTCACTTTCTCAGGGTGACCTTATAATTATGAAACGGTGCAAAAACCGATAAACTGTTCTAAAAATGTTCAGAAAAATGCAGCTGCGGCTAAAAAACGGATACCTAGGTTATCCGTGCTGGGGAATCCTTTCATGATGCTAAAAAAAATCCTCAATGATTGCTTTTTCTGAAAGTGCAAAATTTGAGGGTGACCTTATAATTATGAAACGCACTGTAGTATAGATGCCAAGGTCTCAAAATGCGTTTGAGAGATATGTGATTTAACCCATTGATGACCGCGTGGCCCGCTGGCGGGCCATGGTAGTATTTACATTATTTATTATTCGCTTTTATATTTTTCGACGCTTTCAAGTATCAGTTAGGCTCACAGTCTTCTAGAGATTCCTAAGGCGTTATGGTCCAAAAATCACTCACTTCCAACTGTAGCTATAAGAGAAGACAAAAGTTCATGTAAGGAAATTATTAAAAAGAGCAAAATCAAGCGTTACCAATGGCAAATTACTTATACTGCGTGTAATAGTTTGAAAAAACACTCGAAATAAGATTCTTGGGGCATTTGAAGGATTTTGATGAGACCGTTCTGACTTGACTTATAGGCGCAATATTTTTCTTTGGATAATCCTACAGAAACAAGTGCATCTTCTCCAGCTCCCTTTCAGACTTTCAATCCTAATTGTAAATTCTTTTTGGAGAGGGAGGCTTGCCAAAAACACTCTGAACTAAGGGTTCTACGAGGTTTAGCTTAATAATGCTATCTGCCTCTAAGCAATCCATCAAAGATTTGTGGACAAAAGTCGTCGTGTGTATTGACAAAGTTTTGTGGTATTTTGCTGGGTCTGGACCACTTAAAGGGACAGTTCACGATAGTTTTGAGGTACTCGTTTTTATTCGAAAATCGGTAGTAAAGATTGATAATAGTTCTTGGGTAGTAAAGAAAATGAGAGAATTCGCCGATTTCGAGAAAAATATGGCTCCGCAAAAGTAGGGAAAACAGAGTTTGGACGAGATTGCCATGACGGAAATAACATGGAAGGGGTATTCGGACGAGATTTCAGTTATTGTGCAATTGCGCAAAGAGCTGACTACATCAGGCCAGAACTGATCAGAGCTGTCTTGCACTTCCGCTGTGGGTCATGACAAGTTGTTTGAACTTCCTATAAGGTTCCCTTGTGATCGGTGCAGCCTCTATAATGCCGGTGAAACTCGTCCGAGGGTACACACGGGTCAATCTTTAGGCCTCCATAACTCCCTGACTAGGCCTGACTTTTCTGACCTAATAGTGCCAGCTACGGTGTACGCGGGCCCTCAAATTCATCCTGTGGGGAAATCTCAGAAACCATTTTCGTAGTGAACTGTGCCTTTAAGCCGTGAAGAATCAGAGATGAATTGAGCAGTTTCCTAATCTTCAACAGTTAGAGCCTAGCAAAGTAACAGTGGATATTGTTTTACGCACAAATTTTTCGAGATAAAGTTCCATCAAAAACCCACGGAAGAAGTGATAGGTCATTCGAAACGTAACACGTCGTTTTGTGCCTGACTTATCACTTCTTTACTTTCACACTTCTGACATTTTGATGGAAATTTGCCTCAAAAATGAGGTGGTTAAAGATGGGTTAAATGGCCTTATGCTATCAAACCAGTCACAAGTGCTTCTACTACATGGTGGGGACATTTTACTGTTTGGGTTTTTCCCGTGGCTTTTAATGACCTTATAGTGGAAATGTCGTCTTGAAATGTAAATAGAACATGGATACGATGAGTATGAGATCCACATCTAACCTGCCTACGTGGAATACCCCATGCACTCCCATAGAGCCAGAACAGGAACAGTCGGGACACCAGCTTTGTCATGCTTCGTAATTGGACTGTAACACTGAATCTGCATTCTTATCGTTGTAAGCAACTGCTTCGCAAAATAAGAAATTACAAAGGTCGCAAGGCTTCCAGCCCAGACCTAACGCCTTCGCAGGTTCGAAACATCGATCTACCCTACTGTGCTTGATACGTCCAAAGTAATTAGCTGGTTGAATAGCAAGAATACCATGACCGACATGAGAATGATGGAAGTCACCCGAGATTACATAGAAAACTTCTGGATCGTCGTGTTTCAGTTTAAACTGTGTCTTTATTTCCTTCCATGGGTTAAGATTCGACAAATTCGACATATAGTTATTTATTATTTTCCAGAACAAAAATTCAACCAAATGAAGGTTGACTTCGTTTCAGTTTTACAACCCATATCGCATTCATAGAAAGATCATTGTAACTCTTCTATAAAAGTGGTACCCATGAGCTCGGATAGAGCTCGGTTTTATTGACCATTTTCATGAGATCAGATCCGGGTCGAGGCCAACCGTCGTAGTAGATTGTCTGAAATAATTCGCTTCAATACTTTGCAGTAATAAGGAAAACAGTAGCAGTACAGTAATTTTCATATTTTTCTTCACTATGTTATCACCACGTNATGAGTACTTCTGTTCAACAATTACTTTCTTGCGCCAGACAAAACTTTCGTAGATAAATGAATAAATAAATATCTAGACGTATAAAAACTGGTTCTCACCTTTTCTGATTTGGTGTTAAGAAATCCGGCCCACCATGAGAAAGTACCCGGGGAGAGTATAAGAGCGTCGCAATGTAAGAGAATTGCCATATCGACTTCTCGATGAACACCCGGACAGGCAAATATCATTCCTAAATGAAGTAGCAAGACAATAAAAGTCTTACAACAACGTAGTAATGTAATATGCTGCCAAGCAATCAATTTAGCATACCTTTATCATATTTTGGGAGATTCCTTTTTGACCATACAGGATTGTCCGAGCAGATGACGAAGATTGCCTAAATCCCTCATGTTTGATCGGCTACTTAAGCCTGTCTCCATATAATTTGACTCGAAAGATGTGGGGGTACGAAATAGTGGGTGACAGGTAAACTCTTTTCCTTTTCAGTATTACCGTCACACACTGGAAGCTGAAACCCTCTTAGGGTTGTTCAATATTGACGCGACGCACCAGCCCGCGCTCTCTCCCTCAAGGTTCGCCTTCTCTCAAGTGTTTAGGCTTTTTCTGACAAAGGAGTTTACCATCGAAGGCCACCATATTAGCAGTCCCAACATAAGCCTTGCTAATTATGATTTTATATTCTAGAGCAGTGGCGCAGCTAGGCATAGAGATTGAGAGCACAGACGACGCGACAAAATATTGATTATGGTCAAATACACTGGAACGCCGTACGCTTGCATGTTTGACTACTTCCCTTTTAGGGAGCCCTTCCCATACAAAGTGACCGCTTTTGCTAACATTTCCTCCGAATAGCCATGACTATGGTACCAAAGGTGTCTTCTCCACTTAAGGTTAAGGTTGGTAGGGTGAAAAAGGAGTTGGGTAAAGCCATGCGATTTCTCCCTTTTGGCTGCACTCTCTTACCGAATTGAGTCAACATCTCCACCTTTCTACCCCTCCCCCTTCTGAAGTTCCTACCTCCTTAGGCTCAGGCAAAGAATTCCATCCTCTTAATCCACAATCAATAGTTTCTCAGCACCCCTGCCTGCGATCCTTCCTGGTCCACGCGCTGGCCATTAGGGTTAGAGATGCAGAGCTTTGTGAAGCAGCAACACCTTCCAACTCCGCCCTCACCAATCAGCAATATCGAACTTCACCGCGTCGGTCAAATATGTAGTACGCTCCCGGATGGTGCAAGGATTAATTTCGTCTTATTCTTTATATTCTTCTATTTACGTTAGGATAAAGGTCCGCAATAATGAAAACAACAAGCACAGAAGCCTACATTCTCCTTCCCTTTACTAGCCATCTCCATAGCTTTCCGATAGTAATCGGGCGTAGCAGCTTGATGACCATGCCGAAGGTTCCTGGTATTCATGGAGATGTCCATTCCACGTCGTACATGAACACCAATGTAGTATAGGTCGTCGAACACTAAATAACCATGCCTTACTACTTATTACTAAAGGTTCAGTAGTTTTGCTGAAGAAATTTAACAAGGTACCCTCATTCGAAGCGATTATCGAAATCACTCACAAAAAGTTCTGAGGGGCATTTCGTCTGTTATGACAGATCTGGCGGTTGTTCAAGTGGAAGGACCCCTTGACTGGTCTCATAATGGCAAGTTTAACAGTTTAATTCTCTTCTGAACTGTTTCGGATCCCTTACTCTACGACAGGTTCATGGTCAGACGCATGAGTATTCTGTCTTGAGCCCTAGGCGTCGCGCATGCCGCACATGCGGCATCGCTGCCGTGGCATCGTCGAAGTGACGCCGCGGGAGAAACAGCGAACGAAGGACGGCAAAGGCTTTCGCGTCGCTGAGTTTGTTGGTAATTCGCCAGCTCCTCCTCCGCCCTTCAAATATGTAGGGGAATTCGACTAAGCAAACCGAAACATCATTATATTTTATGTCACCTGCACACCCGATGATCAACGAGACTGAGCAGAGGCGGTTTGTGATACTTTCAGATACATGAGGAGGTCGTCGCAGGGACGTCACTCTCATGCATCGCCTACTCTGGGAAACAGATTCGAAGAGAAAGGATCTTAGTTAGATGTTGTTGAAAAGTAAGCATTGGCCATCTTTCTCTTTCTACGCTACATAGCGAAGTGTAAACGGGTGACTTACTAGCGTCGGCTTCCATTTCAAATGCGCTGTCACTTGGCTTCCCATCGAAGTAAAGTGGGCGGGCCCTCTCCAATGCTCGTCGAGCTGCCAACGCTCTCAAAAAGCCTAATGCCTAAAAATTATATTATGTGCCCCTTATATGAGCCGCAAAAGAAGGATTAGAAGCACTGAATGAGCGATGTTTCAATGGAAAACGGCAGTTAAGGAGTCTTTACTATGGAAGCGATAACAGGAAGAGAGGACCGAATCATTCCTTCCCTGCATGGGTTCTTGGGTTTTTTCAAGGTGATGAGGAATACTTGGCAATCTCAGTAGTCTATGATTAGTGTTAAAATAATGGAAGCACATTGGGCAATAGAAATAATGAAGCAGTTCAAGCCAAACCTGTTCTTGAACTGCTGGGAGAAACTCAAACTCTTTACGAATAAGTTCCTCATTTTCTGGCATGAAGTATCGTGGATTTTGCAGATATCCAGTAATAGCAGTTATTTTTTCGTTGGCCGTGTTTGGAATAGGAACGAATTTGCAGCAGCTCTGAAAATGGGAGCAAAGAGTTGGGTCGAAAGTTCGGAGACTGGTCAATACCCTAGCAATGAACAGATTTCTAGACAAACCTTAGTTTCTATCGTAGCTTTTGCAGCTCGACGTAATAACTTATTGGCAACTTTCTCGGTTACAAAGGTCGCATTCAGCTCGAAAGCTCGTCTAAAAAGATCAGGTTATTAGCTTTTGGCGATTTGTAATTAGCAATGTTATTCTTTAAACACATAGTCTTAAAACAATGTGTTTGGGGAAGGTCCAGATCCTCTAAGATACTCTCTTCGGGCTTGAACTCAGGTCTGTAGACGTAAATGAGATTTCCTCCCAAACTTGGCGTAGTTTGATCTTGTGAGATCAGACATTAGCTTTCCCACTCCCTTTCTCTTTTAGGACCAAAATTTTTGCAACAGACCAATCGCAGTTCGGGCATAATCCAAGCCTGGGGACGGCATAGCCAAGAGGCTGCGCCCGGTCAACCACACCACGACAATCAATAGATCAATTCTGCGGTTCTGCAATCTTCTGTTCCCTCCTAACCCCGTCGGCACGCTGCCTGTCGGAAGGCGTGCGATCGCTTTCGAGATATTATATTAACTATTTTCTCAAAAAATTAAATAAGTACCTGAGAACATTGGTTATAGGAATGACCAGCGTTGAATGACGTTTTATAGCCAAACTACGTAGTGATGCGTATTGGAACATTAAGTTGCCAAGGCCTAAAAAAGTAGTTACAGAGCGGTTTCTAACATCTCGGAAATAAGCGAATTGGGAGAGTAGTAGCACGATCCGTTGCTACTTTGTTATGAGGTTGTTATGGGAACAGTTGAAGTTGGGCTAAGCTTTGTTAAAACGGTAGATTATCCAGAAAACATGGAATTACGCTGAAATCGCAACGCTGGTCTCTGAGGACCCTTTTTGTCACCTATCTATCGGAAGTTGATTGTTTCAGCCGATTTCGATATTGTTCGGAATCGTAGAGTGAACGGCCGATTCAAGGGACATCGCTTTCGACAAGTCAATTATCGCCACTTAGCAACTGCGCGGATCTTACGTGTACTCTGCTCACCTTTCCCTATACACTACCCGCGTGGCGATATTTCTACTCGATTACCCACGACAAGCGGTAGTGGTTTCGCGGCTGTTACTGTAATGTCCTACTCGGAAGTCGAATCCTTCACAGTCCGCGATTGCGCGCGATTGATTGCGGCGAGTGCGGCATCCAGGTGGAAGGACCCACACCCAAACCAAAAGCAAGCAGTCTCTCCAACGTGGCATCGATATTTTATGGCAATATGTGCTGAATGATATAGGTTCCCGATATAACTACCTTTGCTGTAGCTAAAGTTGCTGACAAGATAGTTCTCCTCAGATCGATCAAAAAACGAGATATCACTAATCACATTCGGATTCGATATCGACCATGGCTGATCGAGTTTTACATCCTCGCCTGAAAAAAAATATTCCAGGTTGAACATATTGCGTTGCTCTCATGTTTATATATTACTCGGTAACACAACAGCAAATCTACCCTTTATACTTCGCTATAGAGCAATTTATTCGTGCACGTGCGTGCTGTCGCAACGCCTATTCGCGGAAGGTTCACTGACAGCTATGGCGGGCAGCTCTGGTAGAAGTGTAGAATTTCTTACCGATTTGATTCAAATGAAAAGAAGAGGCAATTTTGCAACCACAGAACTGCTACGGTGCATTACTACAGTTTCCCCTTTCCGAATTCGAATGGTCAACATTAAAAAAGTAAAGCCATAGAAGGGAGCCATATTTGCAAAACAATGCTTTCCCGTGGCACGCAGGCAATAAATGGAAAAGAGAAATATTATCCAAAACAATCAATTGAGTAATAATTTCGAAGAGGCACGTTGAGACCACGCCCTTGCAAGGGGCGGAGCGTCCGTGCTGCGCTTCGCCCCTCATTAAGTATGGTAGGGACATCTCAACCTTTTAAGTCTCATACCTCCTTGAGGGAAATTTCTTATTTTTTCGATGATCTTTGCATGACGATTGCGTTGTAGAAAATACGAATCAGTTGGTACAATACTCAATGTCATCAGAAGGCCCATACCAAGAATGAAAAATAGCAATGATGCGAATAGTGCCCATCGTATGCCTGAAATAATTTGAGAATTTATCGGATTTCCTATGCAGCGATAGAGATGTTCGGGTTTGGTTTTTCACATCTAATACATAAAAACTTGAGAAAACATCTGGAAAAATCTGTTCCCTTTGGTATTCTTTCAAATTATCGAATTATGAGTTTTGTGATACTTTCTCGTAACAGGCCAAGAAACTTCAACGAATAAGCCTTATCATCGGAAATATTGAACCTATTGGACATGGATCTGCCTTTCAAATAAGATTCAATGAAAAATTCCCAAACAGAAAAATTACGTTACAGATAGCTCACCCAAATCTTGACAGTGGCATCAATAAAAAATTAGCAAAAACCAGTAAAAGTGAAAATTTCGTTATAGGACCAATCTTAAATGTGGAATTGTATGAACGCGGGTAAGGTACTTTCCAATAGAAATGTGAAGGTGTCAGGAGATGAAACACTACAGTATCAAGTGTACCGTACCACTTACTGTACATAGATTAGCGCTGTCCAACATTGCAATGGTAATTAATGAAAGAAAAACAGAGCAGATAAACTGACCTTGACGTGCTCGCATTCAGGAATCGTATTCAAGACTGCGCTGATGTTTTGCTGACTGATCGTGGATGAGAGCCGAAAATGGGTCAGACCATCAACGTCCATGTATCAATTACTTTCACTGAAAATTTTGAGGCCAACTAAAGATCACTTTTCTTTGGCACTGGAATGGATACAAAAAAAGAAAGCGGAACATCTTAGAGAACACGTGATTGGATTGAATTCAACGATCCTCTAGGAATACGCCATGTACACGACTTTTTCGAAAAATAGTCTAGGTACTAGGTCAGTGCAATGGTAGTCTAGAAGCCAATAATGCGATATATGGTTACCATTTTTGCAGATGATTTTATTATTACTGTATTATTCAGGATATTACATGGTCGTCAGAAAAAACTGAGTGTTCGCTGGACCGGCATGAAAGGCAGGGTTTTACAGGCCAACGTACATGAGGCAGAATTGCTGTCCGCCTCATTTCTTCTTTCCATCTAATCTTCGTTCCAAGAAGCTCTCAGAAAGTCTTCAGGTTAATTTGACTTTGTGAATTCATTTCATCAATTCAACAATTAGTGAGGTTCAGCAATTGAAATCTTTCTAAAAGGAAAGGATCTGTGGACTGCATGGTGACTGCAGCGCCTTTTGCCATGACTCTATTTCGGTTCAACGTTGAAAAAACACAGAGGAAAAGATGAAAACCAGGCAAAAGAAAGATTCGAAGCAAATGAAATGATTCGTGTAGCTATTGAAGCCATCAAGAGAATAGCCAGGTAGTCACAGCCGGCTTCCTACCCATCTTGGCAAGGCATTATAGCTTAGGAGCTTAACTTATCTGCCTTAGTTAACATCACTGAACGCTTCCACGGTAAAGAGTTACGGAGTAGCAATAGAGTGTCATAGCTTACTTTCAACGCTACCCTTTCTAACGAGCAACGGACCCCCTGGAACGTCTTGGAGGATTTTAATTCCGAAATTCGCTTGAACACCTGTAAATCTGGAAAAAATAGTCACGATGCCCTTATCTTATAACAGAACATTTCAATGAAATGAGGTTGCTTCGAAGGGAGTTCCTGCTAGTGCTGTAAATGCCTTATGTTTTATTTCACAGGGATGACGTACCGTTGAAATGACAAGATTATGCTATGCTGGAAAATTAATAAAACTTATTAGCATGCAAGTATAAAAGGGTGTAGGTAGACGTACAGTTACTCGGCATTCAATATTCCTTTTCCCCAACCAAGTCTTTCTGTCGGGAATCGAGACTCCCTTCTTCCTTGGCTTCAGGAAAGGTTTTACCCTAGAAGGAATCTAGAAGAAAGGGGTTCCTCAAAGAAATCAATCGACTTGGAGGTTAAGAGGGGCCATCGATGGGAAATCATCATTATTTCATGTAATTGTGTCGGGCCCTGAATTCAATTATTTTCTCTTAATAATGGTCAGGCGCCCAAATTCTATCAAAGCATGACTTACATTCTAAAAACTTCCTCCTATCGATCGATATTGATCGGCAGGGGTCAATCGATACCGGTCAATATGTTCTGTAATATAGCCAGCAAATTAATTGCTCTCCTAATTCTACTTCATTTCCAGCAAACCAATCAAATTCACGATGAATCGTCGGACATTCGTCTTGCTATTCGTTTTCTTCACCGTTGGAATGATTGAATCTAACTGTTTCTACAATTAGAGTCGCTGTACGCCTGCAACCAAGGTCCATTGGACATTTATAATATATTCAGTTCTACAGAGAAATAAGAAAACAAGCGTTCAAGAAGACCACAAGCCCCCCCCCGTCTGCCTCAGAAACATGAGGATAAAGCTTCTCTGGACGAGTCCACAGGAGAAGGCTGACCTTCAGCGGCGCCGTCGGCCATCGGGAGACGTGCATTACGCGCGGCAACTTGCGC